TTCCGCTCCATGTGTTCTGTAACTATTTTAGAGTAAAGGAAAAATAATGAAAAAATAAAAAACACATGAATATATTATTAGGCTGGTTAATTAATTCACCTTAAAATAGATCCAACCGAAACCTGGATATTCTCGCTTGGAAAGAAGACATAAGTTAAATAAGAAGATGCAGTAATCGTTGGCAATAACAGAAAATTACGTCAAAATATTTATCCAAGTCTTCAGCTGGGGAGAAAAAAACACTAGTGTAGCAGAAAGAAACACAAGAGTAGACATAGCAAATACGACCACTCCCACCCAGTACAAACTAGGTTCCGTGAGGGCACCTTTTCTGCTTTCCCGTGCCTGCTCTGCCCCTGACCTATGCCTGTCACCACCCTCCTGCTGATAGTTTACTTCTCACTCGTTTAATGAAGACTCTTCCAGAAGATGGTTGTCATTACCAGGGTCCGTCTCAGGGGGCATGTTTACAGCACAAGTCTCGTTTAATACAAAGTTTCTATCAGTGCTTACCAAAAAATTGGCACCTTTTTCCTAAAGGGAGAACAGCATCTAGGGAGGGATTTTGGGTGACGGGATGAAGTGGCATAAGAAAACCTGTTCTTAGAGAGCAAATGGGGTGGGAGAGGAGAACAATATTTATTTTCCCAGAATTAAGGAGGTTTTTCATACTTTCTTTGAAGAGACTAATGCTTCTATAAGACATAAAGTGTATGTGTATGTTTTAGCTGTTTGCCCTATAAAATGGAAAAACGGAAAAATTTTTGGTAAGGGTGAAATAACTTTTTACTATTATCTACTCATTACTGGTTTCTACTTTAAAAGGAAGCTCTGTAGGGTCTAAGGAGTCCCCAGGTGGTGCAAACTACTAACAGCAGAGTTGGTGGTTTGAACCGACCCAGAGGCACCTCAGAAGGAAAACCTGGTGATCTACTTCTGAAAGATCATGGCCTTGAAAACCTCATGGGGCACAGATCTACTCTGACACATGGGGTCGCCATGAGTCTGAATCGACTCAACAGCAACTGGTTTTGTTTGTTTGCTGGTATGGTGTCTAAGGCAAACCCTTCCTCTGTGAGGTCAGGGAGAGTTGCTCCATGTGTGGGCAAGTCTGAGTTCACAGTGAATTCAAAAGGGC